TCACATGAACCTCTCATTTTCACAAGCTCTATAGAAGTTCTTTGCTGTCTTCAATAATGAACCCTGTAGAAGCTGTTTAAATATACGAAATGACCCTGTACACACACATTTTTCGTTTCAGTTGGAAGTCCAAAAACGATCGAAATGATCTATCAGCAATCAACCTAGTACAATTACCTGTTTCTGAAACATTGATTGGTGATGATGATGAATGTTCAACGAATATGTTGTTATCTTCAGCTCACCTATTGATAGTAGCACCAGAACGATGCAGCTCTTCATAATATCCACCGTGTATCGCACTGAACCACTGAATTTCATCCAAACAGTGTTCGTCCACAAATCGATCCCGCTCAATCGATTCGAACGTATTGACGTAATCAAGTCACCCGATTCAAAATCAGAAACAAATGATCGTCTTCTCGGCGGCCATTAAAGTCATACTAATTATTAACGATATAGACATTCTACTTTGTCACTCATCAAACCGTTTATTTTTAGAATATGATAAAATGTTTCTTGATTTTTATTCTGATTTAGATTCCGCAATCAATCAAAATTGCAACACTGGACAGGATCGGGCCCAGGGCATCATTTGACATATTTTTTTTATGTTCTGGTTCTCACGAAAAGGGATATCCTGTAATGTTCAGATAACATCGTGAGAACCAAGGAAAATGAGGTAGGAATTGGTGTTCTTCTTAAAGGACCCCGCACGAAAACACGGTAAATTGGCTCTCGGTCGAATTGGCTGAAATTTTACTATGTTATTGTGGGATGGCTCATTAGAAAAATATGTGAGTTTGAAAAGTTTTGTATGTTTAGTTTCTGAGATATAAGCCGACAAAGTTCGTAAAAACGTCGTATCGGAATAGGATTGACAAAGAAAAAGAACTGTTTTTTTAGTATAAATAAGACAAAATAAGCTAGAAAATGTATATTGATCGAAACTCAAATACATGTCTAGTTATGATCACATCAATTATGGTAAATCAGGGTGTATACGAGACATGGTAAAAAAATTAATTTTTCGGAAAAAAAATTCGAGCACTATTCCGAAACCAACGAGTTATATTTTGGTGAGACATTATAGTTTCAGTCTATTGTAGGCTTCGAAAACGTATTTTCACTGTTGATAACTATCTCTGTTCGGAATATGAATTCTTTGAATTTTGTGTTATATATACCTGTCCCTTTTGGAAATCAATTGACAGCTTGTTTTTGATCACAAAAAAATGGATTGATTGATACTGTTGATTGAATGAGAGCTGAGGTAACTCACTAGCGAATTCAGTTGTTCAATATTGCTCTTCATTTAGATACATGGTGTGTAAGATTTTGTTGAAGATTATTTAAAATGTTTCAATTGAATATCTCGAAAACAGCTTCGTTAATTTGGATCTCATTTTACTCACACTCTTCTGAATATGTTGACTATCATATGCAAATAGTTTTTCATTTCTTCATGTTTCGTTTCTGAGATATGCATCCCCAATTCGTGATTCGTGAACCCCTATTTACTGACCCCACCGTGTTTCCAAGATAGTGACAAGAAGAACAAATCCTCCAAATTGGAAGCGTTTTTTTCGTAGGCAAATTGAGATCGGGTCGATTCTGTTCGGATCTTGTTATAACATTTCTAAGATAACAATATTGTAATGATCATAACATATAACAATATTGCTATGAAGTTCTATATTCTGTTTGCAGAGTAACTGCAAGATTGGTTATAAGTTCGAGTGATAGCAATATTGTTGAAAAATTTAGAATTTTTGAGCTGACAACACTGTTTTCATCTCATTGTTTGAGTGTTAGGTATCGACTTTACCATTATTTCATGAAGAAGAAGGGTTCATAATTATCTAACCTCTCAAATAACATTTTACAAAATTATATTGTTCAAAACGAGAGAATTTGTATTTGCTGAATCTGGTCGTCGTTGTGCGACTGGTGCAAGTAATCAATCATGTCCCCGAAATGAGAGACAACTAAAAGCCGGATGAACATAATCGTGATTTTCTTTTAATATTCTAGCAAAATAGCTTGATAAACTATCCATCAGGCAACTGAAATGGTTTTTCTGGTTCTCAATCTCAATTGGAACTTCAAGAAAAGGTTTTCAAGTAGTTGGTCACGGTAGTGAACCTATCCTATATGTTTGTAATCATTCTAAGTTTTTCAATAATTCTTCTACGAATTGAAACTTTGAGGAAAGGTTTTCGAGTAGTCAGTGACACAACTGAACTCTCATATGTTTTTGATCCATCATTTTCTGAATTTTCATACAGTTGGAAGAATTTGTAGTGAAAGAAGAAAGAATCCACTACCTTGTTATAAGATAGCAAGCACAAAATTGATGTTGCCGAGATAGCAAGAAAGCTGACCAGATGTCATTGAAATTGACATATCATATTGCCAAAAATCTATGATTAGAATTCCACTTTTTCCAATCTTGCTATGATAGCAATATCTTCTCTACAACCATATTGCTATTTGCAAACAGAATCGACCCGAATTGTGTATTGATTATCTCGCCCTTGTGATGCACTTTCAATGCCCTATATAGTTTCAATAAAAACTGTACTTGGGGGTAGATATTTATATATACTAAGTAGATAGGTATGTTTTCAACATTTCCCGACGACCTTCAACCCACTTCATTTTTCTGAAAAATATATTAGGCACCCTAATACTGAAATGCCAATCATTTGACTATCAAATTGAAAGCAAATTATATTGATAATAAGTATTTTTTCATTTTTATAATATCACTATTTAATATTGAAATTCTAATCATTTGACCCCTATATATGGGTGTCTGCTAAAAGGAGGTCAATCCATTAACCAGGGTGTCAAAGTTGGAAATTAAATTAAACGTGTTGAATTTCTATCTTTTTTTTTTCTTGTAAAAATTATCTCAATACATTCGTTACCTTTTCGTACGTAAAAAGTTACGCCCTCTTCCAATTTCGACGAAATAAGGAGTATGTGAACATTATGAGATTACCGTTAGCCGCATAGGCATCAAACAATAACCAGTACTTTTCGAATTATCTTAAAAACAAATAGTTTTATCGAAATTTCAAAGGAGACGAAAAATACTCAAAAATGATCGAACACTTGAAGAAAAATTGAAATCCGTTTATAAAAAAATCACCTACAATGAAATAGCGTTTACCTTGAATATTTCATTTGAGCCGGCTCTGGTACTGGCGAATGATCTTCTGAATTGATCATTGTCCTAACCAAAATGGTGCAATCTTTTTCATAATAAATATAGATTTCTGCTAAATTGCTTTATGCGTAGATTGCCTTGAACGACATTTTTGTCGATCTATGTTTTGATAGAAAGACTAGAATTTTAATTGACTTTATATGGATTTGTTTGATATTCGAGTCATTTACAATTTATATCATCGCAATTTTCCCAGAATACTAACTAAAACAACACCTGATAGTGATTTCATACATAAAATTTAATTATACTGGTATTTTATTTATATTTCTTACATCTTCATTTATTCACTACCGGAATATAATAAGTTGCATAAAAAACAATTGTCCTAACCGGCACGAAAACTAACTATTACTATACCTACATAATTATGTAATTGAAACAGAAGATCATGCATTTTAAATACCTACTATGACAATTGGAATAATTTGAAAGATAATTATCTAATGTCTAAAGAAAATATTACATATGCACAAAAAGATAAAGTTCAAATATCTACCTATAAGAAGATTATATGAGAGGCTTGTATTGGGTTTATTGCCCAAAAACCCTTGTAGAATCATGTTCCTCGTATATAAATTCATGAGAGAGAAATTTGTTCAGGGTTAACAGAAACACAATATAACAATGAATAATGTAATTTTATTTTCGAAGTTTTTGGAAAAAATATAAGTTTTCCTTCAATTAAAGCAAGCTGTATGTAGAGTGAAAAGTCCTTCCTCTCTCCTACGCTATTTCTCTGTACTTATCCCTAGAGTTCCTGAATGTACTTGACACTGCTGTTTTGACGTCAAAACATCAGTGTCAAGTACATTTAGGAACTCTACTTATCTCATAGCATCATCTCTTGGAAGTAAAAAAGCTGGTACCTATGCAATCAATTTGTTTAAATCAAATATTCGCCTATGCTAAGCACCAAACCATACTTAAAATACAGGGTGATTTATGTTTTAAGGTAACCAATCAATATTCTGAGAGAATAATACTAAGCAGAGAGAAAAAATTACTTGAAGAAGTCGAAATTTACTAATTTCCGACAGAATATTTTACTAGAACTAGAAAGTTATGGATTAGGTTGTGAAATGCATGATTAGGACCTCAACATTATCTATAGAAACCATCAACTTTATTGGCAAATTGCATAGTTGGAAACTACTCATTACAGACTTCAAACATAACTTCATGGTACTAGTGGGCATTTAGTTATTAATTGGGTGATATTTAACATCAAAATTACCAGTAAAATGTCTTCAAGGCCCTCGAACTTTCAGGATATTGATTGGAGCATAGATTAACGACTCCCATTGGAGTTAAAATTCACCAGATTCTAACTCCATAAACGTTCATATAGTCAGGGAATAATCAGATGGAAAAAATAAGTCGGATTTATACTCTGTGTCAACTATTTTTTACCAATTGAGTCGAAGGAGTTTCTTAGACTTTTTTCAACCTAATTAGCACCAACTTCATGTTCGATGAAGGCAAGATTACCACTATGAAATCCTCATAGAACGAAGTGTCCTTGAGAGAGTCGAAAATGCATATAAAAAAGTTTGAGTAATATTTAATGTAGTTCCCACTCCTGAATGAAATTTTGGAATGATTCAATTTCAATGCATTGGGCATAGAAAGTTTAGTTCTTTTACCGAAACGCATCACTATATCACATGGCGTTTCGAAAATATTCAAGAAATATAATCTTCAGGATTCCCCTCTCAGGAGACATTTTTCGACTCATGTTCATTGAACTTTTTTTTTGTTCTATTTTTGGTCGTAGAAGCCGCAGGTGAAGTTTGGTAGGCTAATTTCGGAACACCCTGTACAGTGTGGGAGAATGTAGTTAGCACTTCTGTACTTCCCAAGAAAAGTCACTACTGAGAGTTCTACCAATATAATTTGGAGAATTCCATAAGTGATCCATTTTCTCAACTTAATTCAATCCAAACAAACCTGGAAGAAAATAAATTGCATGACCATTTTGTTCCAATTTCGGTTTTAACAAATATGTATTTACCATATCAAAACTGGAAATAGCATCATCATTTTGATGGTCTTCTTCCTTCCTAGATTTAGAGGACCATCTTCTAGCCAATCTCCTGACACTCGAGGGTCTATTCCTGAAACTCGGTCTCAGACAGATCATCTCCATTACAGTTTCCTGCCTATCCAATTGTTTTGTTGGGTGGGCCATACTTCGAGGTTCCCCTACCATGGAAATGCCCATATCTACGTTTGACTCTGAATGACAAACATGCGTGCAAATCTTACTGCTGGTACTCTCCGAAGACCATACCTGAATAAGTCCAGAGAAAAAAACAGTTTTAGCTAATCCAACTAAGAACCTATTGAATGTTGCAACAACTGTAAATGCAACTGTGAATTTACATGTATGCAACGACTGTAAATTATGAACAGAACCTAATTTACTGATGCATCATCATATATGAGAACATTTTTTGCAAATGCAACTGTAGATTAGGCCTATTTACAGCTCAAACTATGAAGAAGGTTCTAATGAATAGATGCAACTATGAACTACCTCATCCTCATATGGCTTACAATTGCACCAAGAAATTAAAAATTGAAATCAGAACACAGGTAAGTCACAGATGCGAATCAAAATTGAAACCTAATTTATAGATCGAATCGTAAATTAGAACCGGGCCTGAATTACAAATTCAACTTCAGAAATTGATAAAATGATTGGTTCTAATTTACAGATGCAACAGTGAATTAGGTTCTAATTCACAAATACAACCGTAAATTAGGTTTCAATTAACAGATGAAATTGTAAGTTACGTGAATTCTTAGACGTATTTTTGTGAATTATATGGCAATTTACAGTTGCAACTTCATATTAAGTAAGAACTTTATTTGCAGGTGCCACTGTAGTATATTCAGCTCAAATTGTGAGGAAGGTTCTGATTTACAGATTCAACTATAAATTACGTTATTATGACAGTTGGACCATAAATTCACAGCTTAAATTGTAAATTTGCATTATCTGTACCATATCTGTATAGAGGTTCTATATTTTAATAGATGCAATAGAAGAGCCATCCGCCTGGTGGGTGATGCCACACTCACTAGTTCTTTGACCTCATCAGAACACCGTAAAAAGTCGGCGACCACTTACTTTTCTATAGATACTACCACCAGAAATGTTCCTCAGGAATCTCTGCTATCATTTCATCACTATAGCAATACCAGTTAGATGAACTCGACATGCCCAGTCAGCACATCCATTCGTTGTCAACCTTGAGATATGTAGAACAACTTTACAACTTTACCAACACTCGTTCGTCTGCAGAACGGTAAAGCTTTGTAATTCTTTGCCAATGGATGTATTCCCAAGAACTCATGTAGTTGTGAATGAGATTAGTCCATAGATACAACTGTAAATTATTAGGCTTCTTTACAGCTCAAACTGTGAGGAATGCTTTAATTTACAGATTCAACTATAAATAACGTTATAAATTAAAGATGTATAATGAATTTACAGTTCAAATTATTATGAATTTGCATTTGCTACAGCATAATAGGTTCTATTGATGCAACAGATGAGTTCATAAATCAGGTTAGTTCATAGAAACAACTGTTAATTATAATGCTGATTTAAGTTGCAAGTTCAAGGATGGTAGGCCCAAGCCTTCGATGGTACCGTACCATAACTGCGTACCTTGTTATTTTTCTCCCTCCTCCTTTGCAAGTAACTGCAGCTGCAGCAAATCTTCCTCAATTCAGCTCTGAACTTGGGATGAGATAGAGCGTAGACGTAAGAGTTGAGGCAACTCGCAGTCTTGCAGAATAGAGCCGGTACCATGGAGGAAAGTGGGGTGATCAAGTGTTTTTGGCCAAAAATTCCTAATAGAGCCACGATAGCGTAAGGGGTCCAAGATAGGAACCAGAGGAGGACGGTGCCGAATACCACCATGGCCAGCTTGATTTCTTGCTTCTTGCTGTCATCGTCTTTGACGTGTCTGAAGGAGTCGCCTCTTCTTTGTGACATGGTTCTACAGAGTGACCCATTTGAAAGAGAGTATTTTATTTTCGAATTTTGGAATTGGTATCCACACAACGATAATTCACTATCCAGTAAGAGAAACAGCGTTGCCGTCTCAGCCGATTCTTTTAGCTTGTTTGGATATTTCTACATTCATTGCTCTCAAGATTTGACTGATTTCAACAATGTCATGAACGACGACGTTCATTATTAATATGGCAAGTATACCAGATTGTATAAACCTCAATAACTTATTTTGTTAGTAATCATATATCATATCAGTCATTAACTACACCAATATCAAATCATCTAAAGATACAGTTCACAGTTGGATTGATGCGAAAATAGAGAGATATTTACTAGATATTTCTTAGAAATAAAACAGCTGACAACACAGGAAAAGGGACTATGACGTCAGTACTGGACAGACGTGTTTGCCGCCAAACGCTACGTTTAAATGTGCCATGAAATTGTAAGTATATTCAAATGAGTATTTTATCAAAAATTAATGAAGATCCAAACCCACTTCTCGTTACCTCTAAAAAATATTGCCTCACAATCAATCCATCTGAAACGGTTGTCATGCTTTTTGGCCGAAAATCTATCCACCTGAACAACAAAACTCTCTCCCTGACAGAATGTTCTAAAAACCTGGGCCATTAATTGATCAGTCCCTAAGGTTTTCGCCCCATGTTTCTCTAATTCTGAAACGAGTGTTCTGTAACTTGAAAAAAAAATACTCTAACAGAGAATTCTTGAATAAACAACCTAAGAAACTTCTTTGTAATGCCCTGATTGTACTATGCCATGCCGTTACCCCATGGTAACGGCCATGCTTATTATGCAGATACTGAATATATATGGTCCTAGCCTACTTTACAGACCTTACAGAACTCGTGCGTAAAACTCATAATAGGGACCAGGAGGCGACAATCTGTTTACCACCATATGAGCGACCTAAATTGGCTGAGTATGGAGTCGACGGATATCTCAGAGTGTATAATCTCTGATTCAAGCATTCTATTCCATAAAATAATTTTCACGAAGATTCCAAGCTATCTTCATGATGAGAATGATGGAAGTAAGATATGGTGCGCGTATTCGGTCATTATTACGTATTGAAAATTTCAGAAAAATCACTCGACCGCCTACTATTATTTCTCTTACGTCAAAACGAGCGAGACGTTAATTCTACATTTTCCCGGTAGATGGTGATGCTGCTATTGCTGCTGTGACGAGTGGAAATAAAATGGTAAATGACATTTTAGGTACGCGGAACATATGTAACAGTGGGATTATTCAACTCTGTATTCGAAAAATCTGCGACAATTTCAAAACTGACAGATGTCATGATTGTGCAATGTCGACATCTATTAGAAGATCGACGGAACCATTGCTCTCACTGTTCTCGAGAGGTCGAGTAAAATTTCTATAAGCTTTAGAACTGACATTCACAACTTGAATCTAAGATTCAAAAACCAACTCTCTACCCCAGTCTATAATACCACTCTCTATCGCGGATCATTTACCTATAATACTACCCGGCTATATATAATCGACTCCCTAATACGATGAAATCACTTCCACTGCCTATTTTCAGATAGTTATTTATTATACAAGGGAAAATAGTAGTAGATTTTAGCTCCAGGTTGTGTTGTCTCCCAAAAGTGACATTTTATAACCTGCCAACAGAGATGAAATGCCAAACTTTTTTCCCGTCACGGAAAAAATAGTTATTTATTATACAAGGGAAAAAGTAGTAGATTTTAGCTCCAGGTTGTGTTGTCTCCCGACGCGTAGCGGAGGGAGACAAAAAACCGTGAGCTAAAATCTAATATTTTTCCCGTGTATAATACACTATTTTTTTCTGTGACAGAAGAAAGGACGAATCAATATTGAGAAGATATTACATAATTTTGAAATCTGAAAATTATCGACGTGAAATTTTAAGTTTTTAACAGTAGGGACACCTGCGTTGTTAGGCATCTTTATCATTCTTTTGAAGTAATCAAATATCTGATGTCACTTCTGTCAGTCTGATTCTGTGATTTAATTTCATAAAATTGCATATTTAGTGGTTGTTTAGTGATATACGTATAACCGCGAAGTCGAATGGAAGATAAAAGGACTTGCAGTTCTTTCTCGGAGACTCATTTTTCGGAACTATAGCACTACAAAAGCCATATGTGATATATATCCGGGAAGAAAGTACTCACTTTTTTCCCACGGGAAAAAAGTAATTTATGAAAAGTGCCATTTTATAACCTGCCAACAGAGATGAAATGCCAAACTTTTTTCCCGTCACAGAAAAAAAAATTATTATTATCTGACTCACTTGGTTACAGATTGCTTCAAATCTTGAATTGAGTGTTTTCTATTTTTTTTTTGTTTTTCATCATTGTTTGCATTGTTTTTTATTATTCCCCCCTATCATAATCTGGATATTTACTGGTTATTTCAAACATATTAGTTCACTATTTAATTAGATTGCACGAATTTATTGTCCCCAGGTTGAATGGAAGAGCAGGATCTGATTGCGTTACTCACGTGACGAGGTTAGATCCTGAATTCTGCTTTTTGATAGGAATGTACCTTAGTTTTTTTTGTACCACTTAATAATGTAAATTATTGTAAATCATTCATTCTTGTCAATAGAATCTATTATTATTATTATTGAGTTATGAATTTTTGTGCACTAATTCATCCACTGATTTTGTATAAAGCAACAAACCTGTTAGTAACAACCTTCAGAATGTTGAAGTAGCTGAAAGAAATGAGGTGGAAAGGTACGACCCAAGCAGCCACGAAATAAACGAATATAAAGCGCTTGATGGAACGGTCTTCCGTCAAATAATCGAAGCTGCAACTCGTCAAATACCCCTCGTAGGTGTACTTCCCCAAGCCGATATCCAGGACCGGAATCATCGCGAAAAAAATTCCGTATATCCAGGCGATGCCCAGACACAACTTGATCCTGAGTGCAGAGAAGCTTCTGTTCAAAGGGTACTTGATCACGAAGTACCTGTCGAAGGATATGACGCTTAGGGTGATGATTGAAAGGGTGCCTGTTAGACCCCCTAAGAAGCCGTAGATTTGACATGCTGCAAAGAAAACAGAAATTGGAAAAACTTCTTGATCCAAAACACTAGGAACACAAAGTATGTACCGGGTGTACCACTAATAATGCTGCTATTCTGCCGACCATCTATGTAACTCAAATATTTATGTAAGGTATGTACGATACAGAGTCTGTAACAGACATACTTACAGAATCTGTTGATTTAACAGAGAATGGTATTCTGCCAAACACTCAACCCCGTGTCGGAATTTACGCCTGTCCACTTACTGAATATTTATTGATGGCTAACTTCATAGCTACTCATTAACCTCACATTTCAGGGTTGGTTTCGATGAATTCATATGAAAATGGATAATTCAGAAGGGTAATTATCTATATCAATTATATCATTGATTATTTTACTCTTGTACAATCTGTAATTGACCTTTTCTTATGGTTATAGAATTCTTAAATTCGACAGATATTACGATTAATAACAATTTTCATGTCTTATAACTTCCAGCTTCTGCTAGAATCATGAAATCAAGCATACAAGGATTTCTTATAACATCCATATTATTACCTACATATGTAATTTAACAATTACAGTGTGGAATAATCGGGTCCATAAGAATGTTATACATACTATGTAATGTCATTTTATAGAAATATATTGAAATCGCACTGGCAGAATACTGATTTCCTTACATTCTATGAATATGGAATTATACATATCCTGCAGAGTCTGTACTGGAGTGCAGAATAGCAGCATAAAGAAAGGACGCCGGCTGTATCTTGGAAACCATCTGCCGCACAGGTTTCGGAAAAAAATATTTATGATAAAAGTGGCCAAGAAAAAATTTCTGGAAATTATTTTCAAGTTTCCAGGACAGCCGCTAGAGGGCATAATTGCATTGGCCAACTTAAAAAAACGGGTTTTTATGAAAATTTGATATATCAAGACATATCAGAAACACTTTTTCCATATTCTCGAGTTGATTTCCACTCATTTCGATAAAAAAAATTGCGCTAGCTCTTTAAATAAAAGAGGGAGGGAAGGATGAATAATACTCTGGAAAAACTCTTATTACTACTGGTTGGTGTAACGGAATTAAGCGATCTCGGTCTCATTATGAAGGGTTTTTCCAGATCTTCCCGATAAATCACGAATCAAGTCGATTTAAATCCCGTGGTGGCCGCTAGATGGCATCGTTTGAAAAATCAGCCGATTTGCCATTTTTTTTTCGAGAATTTCAAATGGAACCATATATTTTTCCTGCCATGATACGAAAGTGAGGTAAACGAGAAGAAGAATGGTGTAAACCGCGATATGATACCTCTTGAAGAACCGGAGAAATACTCGGAATAATATTAAAATTTAAACTGTTAGCATGTCAAATGCCTCCTCATTCGTTATCGGCATTTTGACAAATAAGCAATCCACAGTGAAAACTTCCAATGGAACTTCAATTATATTTTGACGTTTCTTTCATTCAAAGCCAACTATGCCTTTTCTCATTCCTGAGCTCATATATATGCTCACTACTTACATTTCAATTAGCTATGTCATTACTAAGAGTCTCCTTCACTATTGTGAGATATAACAGCAGTTTGTGAAACCAAAATAAATGAATTATTGGAAGCATAATTTCATAGATACAGGATATTTCTGATTACGATTATTGAAGTTAGATTCCTGTTGTGAATATTTTCATAATATTATTTCGAGTATTTCACCGGTTCCTCAAGAGGTATCAATTCGCGGTTCTCACCATTTTTCTTCTCGTTTGCTCTACTTTCATATTAGAGTAGAATGAATATATGGTTCCATTTGAAATTTTCGAAAAAAATGGAAAAATGTCTGATATTTTAAATGATGCCATCTAGCGGCCTCCATGATGGGATTTAAATCGACTTGATTCGTGATTCATCTGGAAGAACCAAAAAAACCCTTCATAATGAGACCAAGATCGTTGAATTCCGTTACACCATGATATGATTGGAAATGAACTCGAGAATATAAATAAAGTGTTTTTTATATGTCTTGATATATCAAATTTTCATAAAAACCCGTTTATTGAACTGGCCAGTGCAATTATATACGCCCTCTAGGGGCTGTCCTGGAAACTTGAAAATAATTTCCAGAGATTTCTCTTGGCCACTTTCATCATTCATATTTTTTTTCGAAACCTGTGCGGCAAATAGTTTCCGAGATACAGCCGGCGTCCTTTCTTAGTAGTACACCCGGTACAGGGTGGCTGCATCGAATTCGAGCCTCATCTTTGGGATCTCGTAACCGTAACAAGTTCGGAAAATACTGTTTTTTTGGACGAGTAGACAAAATTCTAGGCCGAGCCGTAGACGAGTCCTGGAAGTCTGCGAGTCCAAAAAAACTGTTATTGGACGCGCTACGGCCGCTACGTACACTATTTTTTCGGCAACCATGTAGAATAACAAATCAATGAGACACATTTACATATTATATTCCTTTGTAGAATACAATTTCTCCTTTATTAATTCTCATTTGTATCAAATACTGTAATTTGAACAGAATATATACCTATTACTATTCTAACTGTTACTTTGGAAATTTTGTATGGACATTTTCAAACACACTATATCGCAGCTGCTTTCGATAATTTATTGCGATTATTGCAACCAAACTTTCAAAAATCAAAATGTCAACTAATTTCATGTCAAATAGCTGTCAGCCGATATTTCGCTGCTATATGGTAATTATCATCTGCATTTATCGAAACCATATCTACCAAGATTTCCATAGTTACTTTCTCAAAGAAAAAGCGTCCGGGAAGTGAGCACTCAGACGGTTGCCGAAAAAACTTTTTTCCTACCGTTTCCGAGATCCTCATGTTGTGCAACCTTATGTGAATGGTCACACTGTATTGTATATGGTGATTTTTGTGCAATGTTACCTATGTAGCCTAGCGCTGGTCCTCTGCTGAAGGAATTGAAGATGAAAATAGGAGCTTTGATTGTCATCAACCCATCACTGATTGCTAAATTAACTATGAGTGTGTTTGCTGGGGTTCGCAATGTCTTACACCTAAAATTTCAAAAGAAACAAACGTAATTTGTTTGATTGCATTTTTGTCAAGTCTTGGAGCACCCGAAATTGAATCCCTATAAACATGAGTAACCTATATACACCAGAGATAACTGATCACTGCCTATAAGTACCCCAATAGGTTTCAATAAAATCAAGTTGACGAAATGTGTTCAATATAGACATTCCTAAATATGTGATTTTTGTTTTTTTTTCTTATTCCAGGGTAATAACCAGACTTCAATCATCTTCAATCAAACAAGGATCAAACAAAATCAACAAACATTTCAAATCAGTAGTGTAACCTAGCGGCATTCAAGAAAACTACAGAAATAAAAATTACACAACACATAGGCATCTGTAACGAGAATGAATCATTTTACAGAGAAAACTGTATTGAATCATATTAGTTTGCTCTCTGTATCAAAAGGTGGCGTAAGGTAAGAGTTTAAATGGTACCAGAGATTATACACTCTGGTACCAGAGATTATACACAATCTCTGCTGGTACACAATCAAGGACTGGTTGTATACTGGGTATCCGTTATCCGTTTAAGGATATACACCAGCAATATCTTTCCGTACAGAAAAAGTGTGATTCAGAATATCCAAACAATTTAATTTTCAGATTTCTCAATGTATTATGAGGTAAACAGCTCCTATCGAAGTTTGTCCTAGAGTACATCCCCTACAGCATAGATTAACGACTCGTTTATCTATGCCTACAGATAGTCATCAGTGAAAAAGTGATGATTTATTTATTTTTTCAAGCTGCCTGCAAGGAAAAACACGGTATTTTACTAACACCTAAGCTTCTTCAAATGGAATACATAGTCGTAAAATAAATTGGATTTGCATATATGTATACAGGGGGTGTTTCGTAACAAGAACACATGTCTGGGGTTGCGACGTTCCTGAAAAAACTGTATTAATAAAATGTCATATACAAAGTGGCCCACATTTCGTTGCCCCACTATAATCCATGAAGTCCGTAATATATGGGTGAAAAATTTATCATAATGTTTAAAACACCTTGTTTCATATTGTTGTGTATTATTGAAGAAGCAGCTAGTGTGTTAGCAAAACATGTGGTATTTTTAAGAATTTTGTAGAATGTTATCGTTCGTGATGTTGTTTACACAAACAAAACCATTGAAGTTATGAGATATGAACATTTAGCAATGAACATTGAACTTACCTGGTGAACAGAAATACCACAAGAAAATTCCCAGTCAACCCGAAGATCATCAGAAAAATATACAAAACCCCTAGCGCGTAAAAATGCCCATCATCTGGTGGAGGAAAGGTCAGCCAATGGACGTTGATATCAGAAATTTGCTCATCGTGGAACAACCCAAATTTATACCAGTCTGCCACCGACCATTGGGACTTGAACCTTTGAATGATATCTGATAAATTTTGAATGCAGCTGGTATTCGGATCGCACTCAGATAATTCCGTCGAGTTTTGCGATAAACTGCTAGAGAACGCAGTGAGAAAAACGAACATATTGATAAGAATCATCTTGCCGACGTTTCGCGATAAAATGTTATGATGGAAATTTTGTTTTCGACCGCTATTTTCTTGAAAGCTTCTTACGTAAAGTAAAATAAAATCCACTAGGGAAAATTGTATAACGTCGTTTCTAATTCCAATAAGGCCGAAATCCCATAAAATCTAGTAGACTCAGGTCAGGATTTCAATTTGATGATGAGATCAAAACGATGTACAGGGTGGGCCCGATTGGACCCTTTTAAAGGGGAAGTCCTATTCTTGAACTGAATAGAAGAAAACTGTTACTCTGATACGGAGGTAGATATCGATATGCGGTTCTCACCAGTGGAATGGACTTTCCCTTTAAATGTGTCCTCCTATACAGGGTGTCCCAAATTCGAGGGGTATCGTTGGGATCTCGGTAACCTTAACAGATACAAAGTCAAAATGCCGCCTCAAAATAAATTCCAAATACTTCCAAGGGTTATTCCACTTTTTTTTTTTTGGATTTCCTCTCCTCATCTCAATAAAATAAAAATATGAATACTATTTCAATATACCTGTCGTTGAGACAAATCGGATGATTTGCCCCAAAATGTCACTGCGTTTAAAGCATTTCCCTATCAGAGAGCCTAAAAGATAAATTCACTACCTTGTCAGTGAAATTTTGTATTGAAAAAGGTTTAGAAAAAAGAAATAAAGGTATATAAAAAATATATCGAACTTTTACTTATCTTGCTTCCTGTTCAGTTGATATAGATAGAACATAGTATTCACTACTGAAATCTGAAAATGAAAATGGTAAATTCAAGATTAATTAATGACAACATCCTGTAACTCATTGCATTGCCAACGTCACCAATTGTCACTGGGAACTGAAAAGTTACGAATTTGCCATGCAAAAAATCCATTTTTATGTTGAAAACGGGAGGAGATTCGTTCCCGAAACGTCCAAAGATTAGTGAAAATTTGGTATTTTTTCTACATACCTTTATTTCTCTTCTCTAAACCTTTTTCAATACAAATTGTCACTGACAATCTAGTGAACGCAGTGACATTTTGGGGCAAATCATCTGATTTGTCCTTACTACACGAATATTGAAATAATATTCATATTTTCATTTTATAGAAAGGAGGAGAAAAAATTCCAAAAAACATGGAATAATGAATGACAGTATTCTGAAATTGAAAAATTTTACACTTCACGCATACAAAATACATTAAAGAAGGGGAGAAAAATGAATTTCATCTTATCATTGCTAGTTTTTCCGCTCCATCCAATGATATGAATAGATTTGGGATTCGACGTTTCGTCTTCGAGGAGCCATCAACAACTTTGTTTTATTAAATAGTCGAAAAATAAATATTTGCCCCTCAAAAATTCTGATTTGAATTCTGAATCCAATGACATATTACACTTTACAATAATTATCCGACGTTTCGAGCGAAAAAATCTTCATCAGTGTTATTTGATGATGGTTACGAGGAAACGAAACGTCGGATTAAAAATCTGATGACGACATCTTGTAGAGAAGGAAAAAGAGCTGCGAAAATGTCTACTTCTTTTAGTAAAATGAAAAAAAAAATCATTTCTAAGAATTAGAAACTTCGGAAATAACTTTTAATTTCATTTTACTAAAAGAGATATACCAAAATGAATTCAACTATTTCGTAGCCATTTGTTCTGCCCTACAAGTTACCGTCATCAGATCTTTGATCCGACGTTTCGTTTTCTCGTAACCATCATCAAATAACAGTGACTATGATTTGTAGGTTCGAAACGTTGGATAATGGGCTTATATCACAAAAAAAAATTATTACATAATTCGATAGAACTCACCCAACTAGCTCACCACCGCAAACCGTTTCTTGCTGTGAGCTCCCTACGTTTTATCAGAGATTAAACACTCCCCTTTATAAAAAATTATTGAAATCCCCGATTTTTCGGACCTCTGAAAACGAGGCGATGATGTGACGTCAAAACCCTAATACTGAAACAAGACTATTCCAGACAGAGATGAATGATACATGATTTCTGACAGAGTGAATTACCGCGAGATCACAGTTGAAAGAATTAATGTATCAGTTGCCTCAGTCTCCGTCGGGCGTTTGGTATTTTCTTCTAACTATGGCGAGATGAGGTTTCTACGTCATAAGAGGGTCCGTTTTCAGAAGGTACTATTTTTTATCTCCAAAAATAAAACATTCCAGTTAATTTTTCGATCGAATTATGTCGTCAATCATTATTTATGTGTAAAAGGATCATTACAAACATGGTTTGAGTTAAAAGTTAAGGTGTACACGCCCACTGTAAAGTGTAATATGCGTTGGTTTCAGAATTGAAATTAGAATTTATTAGGGGCAAACAATCTTTTTCGATCTTATGAAGAAACAAAGTTGATAATTGCTCCTCGAAGGCGAAACGTCGGATCATAAATCTATAATCTATCAATTGGATAGAGCAGAAAAAGTGACAACGATAATATGAAACTCATTTTGTCATATCACTTCAAATAAAGTCAAAAGAAATCGCGGAAGTTTTTTGTCCATTTTGTATTTTTTTATATTCTTCTCAGCAAACCCTCTCTCAATTGATATGAGTATCAGTCGAATCGGACTATAAACATAAATCTCTTCCATTTTGAATTCATGATTTTCGACAAAAATTCATAATTTCCGACCATATCACATAAATTCCACTTCGGCAACGGAAAAGTAGAACTCGGTCACTAATTCATCATAATGATCACCCTGTTAGTACCTTTCAGGCAATTTCCATCAAAAATAATTCTGAGGAGATACGTTTACTTCGTTTGGTTGGATAACATTTTCATGTAGGTATGCAAAATTATAAATGTGTCAGAGTCTACATTTCAATATAATATGTTGTCTTACTGGTTAGATATAGGTAAAGTATTTATGATGCGCTGAAACATCGAACATGCAACCTTTTATCCAAATTATATGATGAAAAATTAATATTTCACATGCAAATGCAAAACAACATAAATAATATGCAGTTTATGCTAAAAACACCGATCTTCATGGACAACATCTTCCATTATTCTGTTTCTTCTGTGACGGGAAAAAGTTTGAAATTTCATATTATCTGTTGACAGGTTATAAAATGTCACTTTTAATTTTTTTTCCACGGGAAAAAAAAGAATACTTTCTTCCGGATATATATATATCACATACACTGTTGATGGATGGTTTTTGTTGTGTATAGTTCCGAAAAATAAGCCAATACCACCGTCTCCGAGAAAAAACTGCAAATCCTACTATCTTCCATTCGACTTCATGATTACGTAAGTAGTATAGATTCTAGCTCCAGGTTGTGTTGTGAGATAAAAAGCCTAATATTTTTCCCGTGGATAATACACTATTTTTTCTGTGACAGAAGAGAGGACGAATCAATATTGGGAAGATATTACATTATTTTGAAATCTGAAAATTATCGACGTGAAATTTTAAGTTTTTAACAGTAGGGACACCTGCGTTGTAGGCATCTTTATCATTCTTTTGAAGTAATCAAATATCTGATGTCATTTCTGTCAGTCTAATTCTGTGATTTGATTTCAAAAAATTGAGAATTTAGTGGTTGTTTAGTAATATACGTAACCGCTAAGTCGAATGGAAGATAAAAGGACTTGCAGTTTTTTCTCGGAGACGGTATTATTGACTCATTTTTCGGAACTATAGCACAACAAAAGACATCAACAGTGTATATATATGTGATATATATCCGGGAAAAGTACCATCTTTTTTCCCGCGGGAAAAAAGTAATTTATGAAAAGTGACATTTTATAACCTGCCAACAGAGATGAAATGCCAAACTTTTTTCCCGTCACAGAAAAATATTAGATTGTAGCTTTTGTCATAACACAACCTGGAGCTACAATCTACTACTTCTTCTCTTGTATAATAAATAACTATTTAATGATTTCAGGAAGTTAAAAATCAATATCATGCATATCAATATCCAAAAAAATTTATGTTTAATTCTGAAAATTAATATTGTCATTGACAATAGTTGCTACAACCACAAAGTACTTTTGAAATATATTCATATTGCGTGTGTCTCTCATTATACGTTGACTTTTATTTCATTATCCAATCACAAGAACAGGCTTTTACGAACTGTGAACAATTTGACATCTCAGTAGATTTTGCTCTCTTGTTTTTGTTAAATTGAAGAGAGTGCGATTGATTGCAAATTTTCATTGTGTATTCTTTCTTCTTTTTAAACGTCAACTCTCCATTAGCATCTATAATAAAAAAGTTGGGATGAAACATTTCCAAAGAATTTGCTGGTAACAATGTCGAAATAAAGCATCTGGTTGGTTGAAAATGATGACTGGAAATTTCTCATCAAAATTATGTTTCAAAGATTCCGTTAAATACAAACCACCCCATTAAAAAATAGGGGTTGGTGATAGAAGAGTGAAAGTTTGAGGTTGTATGTATTTTTCAATGCCAAATCATAATAAAATGAATAAGAAATTTTGCCAAATGAATTTAAAAAAATATTCTGGGGTGGCCACACTCACCACTTTGGGGTTTAAAAAATATGTAGTTTACGACCTACCATACCATATGCACAAAATTTTCCGTAAGTATTGGTCAGACCCCATCGGAGGAGTTTGGCCACAAACACTGTGATGAGGATATTGTGTTTTAGCTATGAAGACATTTTTCTAGAAGAAATGTGTTATAGCTGTCGCTTGCGTTTGAAAATATCCCTAATTTTTTTCGATCAGTTTATTAGGAAGATGATGGTTCGGTCGACGCAGCACGGAACTTACGGAACTGCCCTGGTATACGCGTTTTACGTAAAATCTGTCCCGGTGAACCAAGCACCGCCTGCGATCCAGAACGAAACTCCCGATCTCGCTTCCCACCATGCGCAGATCATCCGTGGCGAGAATGAAGCATATCTCGACAAGT